GCACAAACAGTAGCTGAAAAGTGGACTTCCTTCAAAAAACACTCGCGGCAAATATTTTATTTTGGTAAACGGGGTGAGGGTGGGAAAGAACGGTCCCTAATTAGACATAATTTATATTTATTTAATTATGATATTTCTTACTTCAACTTTTTTGATTGGTTGAATAGTTACACTACTTTTAGTTTGAATTGTCTTTCTTAACTTTATTTATTCATTGAGTATAGTTTGAAAATTGATACTCCATCCAAATAATTTACTAAAGTATTTAGCACTTAAACATAGTACACCTTTTCATTTAAACGCTTTGACTGAAACCTTTTCTCGCTGAAATACATGATGTTTGTGTGACATTGTGTTTTTTTCCTTTGTTCCCACTTAATTTCTTTTTTTACTACAATGTCGAACACCTCGGTACACGTTCCAAGACAAGCAAATCAAGTACTTCTTACCAATTCAACAGTGTAATTTAAATAACTGCAAAAATTAAAATTTTAGTATAAAGTCAGTTTGGAAACCTTATTTATTTATTTTTTTCAAGCATTTTTGGGATGTTTAATAAATATTACTATTATTTAAACTATTTTCCAATAACACAACCAAAAACATAAATGGGGTTAAAGTCATTTAGCCAATCATTTCATTTTTTCTGTTTGCCAATAAATGGCAATATTTTGGTTGTTTTTGGTTAAATTACGGGATAATAACGTAAACAAACCGAGTTTTTTGGATTATTTTTTTGAAAAATTTCGCTTTTAGGCGTGAGTACTTTTTCAACATTTTTAAGACACTCTTTTGGAGAGCAAACTGACGTTCACAAAATCAAGACAATTTCTTGTGAACGGCTTTTACTCGACTGCTAAACTGCATTTCGATGTTCGAGTCTGCCAATCGTGGTGTTCTTTTCAATTATGATTGTCTCGTTGTTTTTTATTTTTATTTGATGAAACAGAAGTTGATTTTTGTCAAATTCTCGTGTTGTATGTATCATTTTACACAAAAAAATTGCCCAACCATTTTTACAACAACGACACCATTTTTGTTGTTATACGCGATGTTTGAGTGTAAATAATCGAATTGGTCAATTTGTTTAAGTTCATTTTGGTTGAAAAAACAAAAATTTCAAACAAAAAAAATAAAATTGAAAAACAAAACCAAATAACAAAAAATAACCTATTTTTGTCGATAAAAATAGTTTTTAAAATAAATAAGGTTTCCAGACTGACTTTAACTAATTATAAGTTTTAATTATAATTAATCAAAAGTCATTGATTACAATCATCAAAAAGTAAATTTGTCAAATTTACATTTCTATAGTTAAAATGTTTTGTTAAAACAATTATATTTTAACTATATATAATTACGTAGCCCAACATAACCAACAATTATTGTCAAATAATAACAATCATATTATCAAATTATATTATTTGATTTTTTTTATTAATTGTATTTCGCTTTTAAAACATGTATTATAAAGCGATTAAAACTCAAATTATGATTAATCACAATTTTATAAATTATTAATACTTATTTTATTATATAATTAAATTACTAATAATTCAAGTTGTTTATAACTTTATTTCTAAACATTTTCAAACTTTGAAAAAAACAATCATAAATAACACGATATTTTAATGTTTTTCCAACATATCATATATTTATTTATTTTCATTATAATAATTTAATTGTCAAAATCATCCAAAACAATTAAAATATTAAAGTCGTTATTAAAAGGTGTCTTTTCTTTAACGTTGGATGTTGTTTGCCTGTTTTTGGATATCAACAAGTGAAATATATCGAGATGTTCTTTTGAAACGTTAATAAACAACATTTCTGTATTTTATAGTTTTTATTTGATTACATTTTTATATAATTTGTTCTGTATTTTTAAATGCAAAATAAACTACGTTTAAGAAGAAAAAAAAATAAAACACCAACTGAAATAAAATAAAAATATACTAAATTATTACTGTTTGGTATTTAAAAGTCTTTTTATTATTTAAATATAAAGGTTAACTTGGGTTTTTAAAAACATATAATAAATATATATAATAATTTTAGAAACAAAAACCATATTAACAATTCAAAGCATTTTTAGACATTTAACCATATGACAAATGATGATTATTGAACGGTTAAAAGTTAATAATCAAACAAATATTGTTTGAATATGTTTATTCATCAACTTGTTTTTATTTTTATAGCTTTTATATAGATGATACTCCTTCTCTTGTTTATTCGATTTGTTTTTCCTTATTGTGGAAATGGGTGTTTGGAATGCATAACACCACCAAACCACAACGATCAATTGTGTATAAAATGTAAAAGTAATTACAAGCAGACATCATCTTGTACTGAATGTAAACTCTTTAATCCATACCTAAATTTTTCGGAAACAAATCAATTGATTTTGATGTACAATAATAACTGTATGGTTACAAACACAACAAGTGCTCTTTTATATTGGAAACCTTTATTTGCAGAAGACTTGTTATTGAATGTTCCAGACACTTTTAGTATTACAAAAAATATGACTCCGATGCTAGGAATGTGTCATGATGACGATTCCAACAACAGATACCGTTTTGGTAAATATTATAAAGTGTATGTCCCTCCAAATTATAACTCGACAAAAAATTACATCAACATTTTGGTGAAAAAGAATAGAAGTGAAGGTAAAGTCAAAATTGATTTAACCAAAGAACAGTATGACGATAATAACAAGATTGACAAACCACTGTGTTTTGGTACTTCTCAGTTTGTTGATACATATGGTTATTTGATAACAAGAATAAGTTACACAGAAACCAATTTTACACTCTTTGTGGGAATGGTAGATGCATATGATTGTGTAATTACAGTGACTTTGATAACTTCTGAAGAGATGTTACATTATTTGAATTATCCAATATATAATGTAACTCATTTGAAAACAACTCCACTTACTATTAAATTGGATTTTGCACAATTGGGTGTTTTAGATATTAGGGGATGCGCTTCTCAACCATATATACTAAAATTTTTCTTTTTCAAATTGGTTGGTGAAATACCAAACAAGAGTAGAATACTTTTTTCGAGTTCGAACGGAGAGACACAAATGTTTGAATACACAAGATGTGAAAACGCAACAAATTTGTACGGTAAATGCCACTGTGTGAATGGAACACAAATAAGAAGAGATTTGTGGAAATTGGCTCCAGAAACGGGGTTTGTCTATTCGACACAAGAAACTACTTTCGATAATTACGTCTTTAGATTTTTTTCAAAAAACATGATCATGAGAACAGACTTTTCCATGAGAGTAATATGTCCCAACAATTGTAATGAAGAACGTGGAGGTGGAAAATGTAGTGTCCAATTGGGAAAGTGTGTATGTTCACATGAATCATATGGAGGTGATGATTGCCATAAATTGTGTTATTATAACAACACATGGACACTTAAAAATTATGATGACAAGTGTTATTTCGGAGAAGAGTATTGTGATACATATTGTGAGTGTGAAAATGGAACTTATTTATTAGACCATCATTGTTTAAATGACGTGTGTTACAGAAATAATATTACTGATTATCCCGAGTTATGTAAAAGGGGGGAGTCTCATTGTAAATTTAATTGTCAATGTGAGGATGGATACATCATTAAAAATAACAAATGTATAACACAAACATGTGGCAACGGAAAATTGGATCATCCAGAAGAACAATGTGATTCTGGAGATTCATGCAATAGTACCAATTGTGAATGTTATGAAGGTTTTGTACCTGATCCCGATAATACAGGATCTTGTAAGGGGAGTAATTACACAGTAATGATAATAGTTATCGTAATAGGCACTGTTTTTTTATTAATAATGTTAATTATATCTACTGTTACAATCATCATAGTGTCAAGAAAAGATCATTACTTATTAAAGAATGTGATAGAAGACATCAAATATCCACAACCAGAGTATTATTTTGATGTTTCAAAATGTCATCATATAACGTACACTTCGAACAAATACCCATCCAATAAAAGTATAATCACTTTTGGAATGAAAAACAAACAATTGAAAATCAATGAAACTGTTTTTGAAATATTTGAAATGACAAACCACACTAAACAATTTATGTTAATCATATTCCATACTCCAAATATCCAAAAATATACAATACACTTTTGCCCACAAACACTCATCATTTCAAAAGGAAAAACAAAACAAATTCTATTGATATTTACACCACACTGTACAACACGTTTTGAAGGTACTGAATTTTATGTATCAGTTTACTATGGCAATAAATCGACTTTAATTGAATTACAACAACTCGTTTTTGACAAGAAAAAAATCGATGTTGATGATACAATTATATATGAAAAAATACACAAGAAAGTAAGTGCCTTTTATTTTGTATTGATTTCTAAGGTTGAAATCGAAGGATCTTTTCAAATTGATCGCGATGAGTTGTTTGTTTCTCCAAGAAGATTTGAAACAAAAGGCAATCACAAGCATGCAATTGTTGGGACTTATAGAGGAAAACCAGTTATTGTGAAAACGATTAACCTTTCAAATCTATCTACTCAGGATTTAAACACTTTAAAAGCTTCAATAGAAAAGTTTTACACATCCATGAAAAATATACGATCCCCTTATTTGTTACAACCATTTGGCTGTTTTTATGAAGACCAGAATCTATCTTTTTTCAGCGAAATTTGTTGTTTGGGAAGTGCTGATTTGTATTTCTTAAACTCGGAATACAAAGGTCGATTTTCGTATTCATTTAAACTTAAAGTAATGAAAGACGTTCAATGTGGTTTAAGTTATTTACATGGTTTTAAATTATTTCATTTGAATTTGAAGCTTTCAAATGTAATGATGAAATCATTTAGTGTTTCACCATCAGTAGTTTCTGTGCAACTTTGTGATCACTGGGGAAGTGCGGATTTGAGAACAAAAGTGGAGAATATTGGATTGTTTATGAAAAATCCCAGATGCGATCCACCAGAGGCATATAAACATATATTCGGGTCTTTCACTGATGTTTATTCTTTTGGGATCCTATGCTGGGAATTCTTCTATGAACAACGTACATTTGAAAAGTCCAAAACACTTTTTGATATTAAAAGTGCAGTCATAACTGGGTTAACACCAGAGATTGATAGTACTATGCCAAGTGATCTTAAATGGTTAATACTAAAATGTTGGGAGTACAAGTATCTTCAAAGAATTACTCTAAGAGAAACACATGAAATTCTTCATGATATTATAAAAAAGGAGGAAGCTTTGAAAAGTGCAAAAGAAAACAATAAAAACATTGAAAATGAAATATTCTTTGAACAATTAAAAAATGAGAAGATGATATTATATTCGAATGCCTTAGATCAAAAAACACTTGTACCATTTAATATATAAAGTTATTTTTTGTTAAATTTGTTATGTATGTTTAATATACAAGTTTTATAAATTATGTTATTTGCAAATAAACAATTTATAAACGATTAATTAATTATTGTAACAATTATAATGTAAACTTGTCAAATATAAGTTATCTATTGTTTAAATATTCATTTTAACATTGTTATAAGAATTACAATTCTCACAACAATGATTTGGTTTCATGTTTACTCATGTTTAATAATGTTTTGAAAATCGAAAATAATTAACATTGTTTGTATATTGTATTGAAATTAATAATCATGTTAATTTATCACATTCGATATAGTCAAATGATATATTTTTGAAACTAAATCAAATATCAAATTAATATTATATTTGATTTTATTGAAGAATAATAATAAGTTGATCAATTAAAATGTTTTTAACACACTAATGATTTTTAATTAAGAATCAGTGTCTTATCTAAAAGAAAATACATAGAATCTTTTTGGTATTACTATTTTGGGTTCAAAAAATACTTCCTTTTTATAATCAAAAGCAGAATAGGCTAAAATTATAGAGGGGTCGTTCCTTTCATTTGTTTGTTTTAAAAATAGAATATCGTTTGCACTTTCAAGACCAACTGCAAACAGTATATCTTTAGTGTGGTCACAAACATAAATAGCAAACTTTTCATTTGGTGGTTTGATGTTAATTGTTTTGAACTTATTAAAGAAACTGAACATAAAGATATGTGGATCATTGATCCAACAATTCACTTTCATTTTTTTGTTGAACAAAACACCCAAAATAGTCTTCTTTATAATTTTCATTGTCAGCAACAATAAGAAAGAGTTTGTTTTCTTTCCATTCTGTTTTGTAAAACGTGTCATATATATGTTCATCTTTTTGTGAAAAATCGATATCTAATATTATTTTAAATTCATTCAAATTGAATTCTTTTAATATTTTATTTTGAAGCGTATCAAAGTGATTGAGAAATAAGGTGTTCTCTTCAGAAATGAATCTTTGATGAGATTTCACGCAAATTAAATGCTTGTCAAATGACTCACATTCAAGATGAATAGAATCAGATGGTATTTGTTCCTCACATTTTATTTTACAATCTTTTTCTATTGAATTCGTGAATTTGTGAACTTGTTGACGTTGTAAATCACATTGAATTGTTTTATTGATAAGAATATTTTTCATTTTTGAATTCATTTCAATAACTTCGCGAGTAAACCCATCGATGTACTCCTAACTATCTTTACACTCTGAATAAAAATCCAAAAAGTGTTCATTTTTATATTTTGATCCCAAAGTAACACTTTCAAACAAATTTTTTATCAAAACATCTTTACTTTGTTGGAGATCTACATCCTTTAACATATAACAATGTAAAAAACTTAGTTTAACACCTTTTATTTATAATCATCAATTTATTCATCCCAATTTAATATCTTTTTATCTTAATATTTTGGTCATTATTTCACTTTTAAATCAGAAATTCAAATTCAAATAATTAATGTGAAGTATTAATCGATCATTTCACCTAAAATTGTGTTTTGTATAAAAAACCAACAAAATACTATAAATATATATTTAAATGATTTCATTTTAAAACTTTATATGAAAAACCCAATTTTTCTATTTCCATTTTTAACAATCAAAAATAACTCCCTTGTTTTTCATAGAGTCAGTAAAGTGTTTATTTTTGCAATGTCAAAAACACTTTTATCATATATCGACAACATCTCTAAAAATCACAACAACAAAATAATCTAAAATGATAAAGGCATTGTTGCAGATATTTACATTATTATCATCTTCAACAAACTTATTAATTATTAATAATAATTATTATTACTATAAGATATATTTTTGGTTTTGATGGATTAACAATAACATTGTTCCTTTGATTTTTTGTTGTGTTTTTATGATATAGAGACAAAAAACGGTTATATTATGAAAATATCGTAAATAATATGGCTGATCATTTTAAAAACAATTGAATTAATGAACCTACATATTTATTGTTGATCCAATCAATTTGTTTTATTGAATGATCACAATTATTATCTCATGTTTTTTTTAAATCAACCATTTTTTTTATTTATTTAATTATTTTAATAATTATCTGTTTAAAAACTTAATTATTGTGTAATTTTAAGATTTGTTAATAGTAGTAAATAAACAAGCAACAAAATCAATTAGTAATAATTATTCAACAATATTCCAAATATTTACTAATTTGCATTCTTTAACCTTTCTGGATTAATTTATATTTCATTTTTTATTTAAGCAAATCAGTGTAGCAACACTACTGGTAATTGAAATAGTTGTATTGGTACGTATGTTACATCACCACTCAGTCCTAATTGTGAAAGTTGTACAACGTATGATAAAAATTGCTTGATTTGTTCGACTACTTCACAAAGAAAATGCATTGAATGTAACACCAAGTATTATCTAAATACCGCGTGACTTTAGTATCTTTTGTGACTTTAAAATTGATTTTTGAGTTTGTTATTTTAGTTTGGGTTTTGCATTGTTTTTGAAAATGTTCTTTTTATGTTTTTTATTGTTATAATATTTTTATTGACTATTATTTGTTATTATTGACAAAATGCAGTCGACTTTACCAATAATTAAATTTATGGTTAAATGAACTAATGATTTAATTTTATACAATAATGAATTTTTTTAAAATTATTCACAAAACCACACAAAACCATTCTTCAAAAAACTCAACTTTATTTACTTTTGACATTTACCATTATTTTAGATTGGTAAATAGTTTCAAGTATATGCAACGTGTTAAGAAAGCGTCTCTTTGAGCGTCCGTGTAACTATAATTATAATAAAACATCTATAATTTAATAATAAATATTTATTCCTCATGCGCGGAAAAAACTTGGTTTTTCCATATTGAACGCGCTGATAGAATCCCGTTTTCCACCCTGCAACAAAGGCATTATTTTATGTAACTATGGTTTTTATATTATTATTTTAGTTTTAGTTTTATTAAAAAGTTTAATAAATACAAATATAACATTATCATTAAAAACCAATTTCAAAAATGTAATTGTTTTCGAGTTTGAATAAAATCGTGTTTCGGAACTCGCCCTTTATTTAAATTTGATGAACCCTGCTTTGAGTAAAAAAGTACCAAAATGCCACATATGTTATGTGAACACAAGTTTGCTTACCGAAATAGTTAATTTAAACAAAAGAAAAGTATTATTAACTTAAAGCGAAATTGTTCAAGAAAACGATTTAATGAATATACTTTGTTTATGGAATTTTTCTGTTGATGTATTAAACAATTTAAATAACAGTCAGTCTTTCAATTAATCTTGGTAAATTTAAAATAATAATAATCAGAAATGGTGAAACTATCTCAAAAATCCATTCCAATCGTTTCAAAAGTTTTTGCATGTTTTTTAATGCCCTATTTTACATATAATTGTTAAAACTTTAGTTAAATGAAAATACAAGTGTGATGCAGTAATATAACAATTTCTTTCTCAAAATAAATAAACAAAATCTAAACTCAAACAGAATTTAATTTTTGTTTTGTTTATAAGACAATGTTTCTGGACTGACTCCATTTTTTATAATATACTTGACTTTGAAAAGATATTTAAAATACAAAAATAATAATAAAGGAATCAGTTATAAACTACAAATCAAATTTATTCGTTCTTTTTTGAAGTTGAAAAGTTTGTGTTTTTTTTTAATTTTATTAACACCTAAAAAACAATTTCTTCATTTGTATTTTTTGAAATTGTGAACAATTAATGAAATTAATTACATTTTATTGTATAAAAAAGAATATGTCATTTTTCGAAATATTTGATCAAGTGATTGCATATTGGTATTGATAAATTTTTAAATCTTAATCATCTAAATAATAATGCAATTTTAATGTAAAATTCAGAAAAATCGTGTTGATAAAAAAAATTTAAATAAACAACAATTATTAATCTAATCATGTATTTACGCCGCATTTTACCGATTTAGTTTTTCAAATGTTTGCTGACAATAAATTGAAAACAATTCATTTAAACCGTTTTTTTCTTTTGTTTTTGTATTTTTTATTATGCCATTTACTAAACAACAAAACAATAATCATCAATTTTTAAACTGAAATAATATTTAAATATAACTTATTGTAGATGTCATTATAACAATAAGAATATGGATTGGCTGTTAACTTTAAATATTTTATTCAGAATATAAATCAATCAAAATATATTAACTTAATATTTAATAATGCAAACATAACACAAAAATTTGATGTTTGTGATTAAAATTCGTTTTTCAAAAAACGAATGATAATAAAACTTGGTATAATTTTATAATTATTATTGATTATTATAAAATCATTGTAAATCATTGTTTCCATTCTAATTTTTTTTAGTTTTATCAATTATTCAAAATAATAATTCAATTTAAATTTTCTAGCGAAACAAAAATCATCAAAACAAATTGAATAAAATGCAGAAAAGTTTAAGAAAATTAACGGGAAACTGATAGGATTTGAATACCTCTGTATCTTCAAAATAAACACAAATATTAAAGAACAAACCAAAAAGCATTAAAATGGGGTCAAAGACATATTTCATAATATAATAAGATGAAAATGTATTAATAATGTTTAAAGTATGACAAGAACAAAGAATTTTTTGTCAAATTTGCATTAAATTTCGAATGGTTTATAAGCATTAAAATTGGATTCGATGGAAAAAAACATTAAAATAGACAATTCCACAACAAAAACATCTACCGGTTTCGTTTTATATATATTGTTTTATAACCCCTATGGCAAATTCAGACGAACAACCACTCACTCCATTTTTCAAATTATATCAACACCATTAAATAACACTCAAACTAACATAAATAGGACAATTCAATTCGTGAAAATGTTAAGTTCCAACTTCTTTAAAAATGCCGAATAATAATGTAGAAAGTTGCTGAATATGAAATATAAAAGCTAACATAGAAACTTCAAAATCACAAATAATGATAGTTCTCATACACATAATCACGCTTTTCTTATGCACAGTCCACTCCACGGAAACAGATGAACTTGTTGACCCGCTTTGTATGACCGACTTTGTAGCTGTAGATATGAGTTCTGACCAGGCTCACATAGTCGAGCAAAAACTGTGTTATGACCGCATACCCAATTATACACACAATATTCATGGTTATGACATTCAATCAATTTGTTTTGTCCACGAGGACTATATGAATGTCAACAAGAGCACAGGAAGAATTAATAGGTTTGTTTTAATAGTAAAAATACTAATAACTAATCTAAAGATGTGGTGAGTGGCTTCAATTAATCGGCCCGAGTGAGAAAGTAGTCGACTGTATGGTGGCCGGGTATGCAATTATAAAGACTAATGGCTCCACCGAAGCAATTGAAAGACGGACTATAGGTGTTCCCACAAACATTTTTAGTCGACTGACTTCTGGTGCGGACAATGCCGCCAATTATGTGACACAAGTCACTTTATTTGAAGTTGCATTTGATCTGGGAGTGTCTCCGTCACTTTATGTCTTGAATAGAACAGAGGACACAGTCACTATTCAATTCACAGATCACAACAGACCTACAGAAAAAATGGCAGTGGAATATAACAACACAATTAAATCGTATTACAAAGAGTTTGACGACACTTACATCATCCCAAGAATTAAAGATTATATTAATATCCAAATGGTCTCTTTTGACGATGAAAAGATCAGATTCATGGAAGTCAATTTAGACAAAGAAGACTCCGCAACAGCGCGTGTGAGGTTCCCAGCATACAAAACAAAGCCCTGCAAGTTCAGTGCGGACACTGAGATCTTCAACAAAGATGTCAAATTAGTTGAAAAACTGACGTTCCAAAAATGGCAAGTTTGGACTTTGAATGAAAAATTAGAAGGGACGATGTTTGAGTGGGGAAACAACGACATTTCATTGACAGCAGAAGGCGGAAATTTGACGATTGGATTTGCTTATGCGACTGCTTTAAGAATACAAAAGGACTTTAAAGAGCTCCGAGTTGAGATGGAAATAGATGGAGACTATGAGTTCATGCAGTCTCATCTGTTACACGACACTTCACTGTTGGAAATGAACTTTGCGACTATTTCAGTGGTACAAGCAGGTCTTCCAACTCAATATTTTAGACAGAGTGGAGGGAAGACCATTGAATTAAAAGTGGCGTTTAACATTAAGAGTTTGATATATGCAAATGTCATAACAATCACTCAAAAGTTGAGCAAAGGAACTCACGTTGTACTGAAAAGTGCAACTTTGATTAGGGAAGAGGAAATGAAAAAGTCTGATAAATGCAATTCAACGGCTTTCGATTGCGCGTTCACTGAATGCACTATTAGCAATGAAACGTTCGAAGATGGTGTGTCACCTTTCATAAGTGGATGTATACCAACGTGTGGTATATGTAGAGATGGATTTGTCTGCTCTAAAAAGGGATTTTGTGTTGTTGAGCCGGTGTTCAATTTGAGGGAGGCTACTACTGGTGTTGCATTATTTTTAGTTCTCATATTCATTTCTTTGTTGTAAAAAAGTTAGTTGTATAATTTCATGTTCACAAATTTTTGATAAGTTGAATATTTATTAGTTAAAATATTAAAATATTATTGTTATTTAAATAGTTACATTACAATGTAATTTAACCATAAAAACAAATTAAAAATAAAATGGAACCAAATTAAAATGGTTGTTTTCATTGTGAATAATTCTGATAAACTAAAATTAATTTATTATATTTCAAAAATTATTGTAATTTATCATCACTTAATTGCTTAGCAATTATATAGATAACAAGTTTATAACACATCACCAACCAAATTTAATTAATTTGGAACAGAATAATTAAAACAATGAAAAATAATAATAATAAAAATATGTTTTAAAATATGACATTTATTATTTTATATTTAACAACAATAATGTTTGTCTAAATTAAATAATATGGAATTGATGGTTTTTACGAAAATTAGAAATGTTAAGAAAGCGCAACATCACTTAACGTGTATTTAAGTTATTTTCAAAATAATTCCAATAAAGTAATAAATAAATTTTTTAGATTTTTTATAATTATTTCTAAAGTGAAAATACACAATTATTGTTTTACAATTATAATTATATATATATTTCAAATTCAAAATAATTGTAAAACACTTAATAACATTATTGATACATACGCCAAAAACTACATTTCAACGCTTTTGTAATAAAATGTAATTGATTTTGGAAGTAATGATTGTTTTAAATTGTTAGTGTTTCTTTTGATGGTACATTTATCATAATTTATGATAATTATAACAAAAAAGTTTGGTAAGCATTTATAATTTTGTAAAAACAATTATAATCATAATACATACAACTTAAAGAAAAACAGGATATTTACACTACTAAATCAAAATTAAATATTTAATAAACACCAGTTATAACTCAATGTGTTATTATACAATATCTTTACATTATAACTTCCCCAGAGATGAGAATGTAGTAATTTTGTTTTCTCAAGAGTGGGCATTTTTAGTCAATCAAACCTTGAATTCCGCTCATTTAAGAACTCTATTTTTAGTTTTAGTCTAAAAATGACCGCTCTTGAGAGGTTTCACTGTATTTATTAAATAAATAAACTTGTTTTTACAAATACAATTTTTATTTAAAATTAAAAATTTTTACAATGTTTTGTGGTTTCAACTTACTTTGCACTTTTTGATACATTGTTTTATCTTTTATGAAGCAACAAAAACAACGAAATATCAACTTTCATTTACGAAAGTACACAAAAAATGGTGATAAAGAACGCAAATGCCAAATATCCAAGAAAAGCTGAGAGTGATCGATAAGCCCAGATTTCTTCGTCATGACTTTGACTTTTGATATATTTGAAGACAATGATAGGCCAAATCAATGGAAGTATAAATCCAGCGAAGAAAAGGACTTTCAGCAATGGAAAACGTGTCTTCTTTTGTTCAACTTGTTGTGGAATTTTGACTTCAGTTTCAGGAACACTTTGGTTTACATTTTGAACTTGTTGTGGTACTTGATGTTGGTCTTGCATTTGAATGTAAGGTGGTGGAACCATAAAGTAAGCCGGTTGACCATTTGAGAGCATCATTGGTTGGACTTGTTGTGTATTCATTGTGTTTGAATGTACAAAGTGTTAGTTATTTGTGTTTAAAGGTACTTTCTATTTTTAGAAATGACATTTTCATTTTTCAATTTATTGTTGTCAAGATATTACTATTGTTTGATATTAAAAATCAGGAAAACGTACAAATAATATAAACAAAAAAGTTGAGACATTTACGTTTTAATTAGTGAGTTTTGAATTTTATCTTTATTATTTGGTTTATATTATATATGTTATTAAAAACTTTTGTTGTGAACGATGAAATATATTAATTTTTTTTAAAATTAACAAATTAAACAAATGTAAAATATTTAATTTAATACAATCAAAGGCGTCTATTTGTCGTAAATTTAGCAGAAAAACTTATCTATTAGTCGTAAATAAGTGAATTTTCTAGAAAATGTTTTTTAGTATTGAAATTTATTTTTTATAAAAAATTAGTTTTTAATTCAACAAAAGTTACAGATTCAAGAACAAAATATTTAATTGTCGTAGACCCAAATGATTGACAAGTTGTGCGACAATTAAGCAAGTTCGACAATTATAATTACGACAAATAAACGCTGTTGACTGTATTAATCATTAATAAAGGTGGTCTTGAAATAATAAAAAAAACAATGTGATTTAACATAAATAATAAAAATTTTAATTTGGAATAAAAATAAAAATAAAGGCAATAAATGAAAATGAAAATGAATTAATAATATGAAGTGTAACATGATAGTAATTACAGAAGGCCCCGTAGCACAGTCGGTAGTGCATCGTACTTATAGAATAGAGTTATGCGAGGGTCGCGGGTTCGATCCCCGCCGGGACCATTTTATTTATTATCAAAATACAATTGTGTTTTTGAAATTGTTTTGAGTAATTCTCTCATTGAATTTATGAGTGGGGAAAATTTTGGATGAATATAATATTAAATTTAATTCTTTCTTTAAAAAATAAATTAGATTCAGATTTAATCATTAAACTTTGTTTCTAATTTAAGCTAAAAAAACCCATAAAAACTGGGGAATGAATTTTTATGGGTTTTTTTGTGTTTAACTATACTTATATTTCTTAATAAAATTCCAGGGTACAAAGCAAACTAACAATAGGAAAATAAGAAGTCTAGTTGTAACCAACATACATTTAACCAAAATAATATCTACAACTTCCAATTAACACATTAAATAACATGGAACAAAATTTAAGTGGTCTGAAAATCTTCAATTTTTGAGTTTATTAAATAAATTTCCGTTTTTTAGAGTTTATATTATGTACAAATAATTGCACAAGTCAAAAAGGAAAAAACACCTAAAATTTCTATATATCCCTGTTATAACAAGTCAATTCAAAAACAAAAGTGTTATTTTAAATATTAACAGTTTTAAATAATTTTCAATGTTTTCACTTTAAAACAACAACCAAACGATACGCAAATCTTTAAATAGATTATTATTAGTTTTACTTCTTCGAGTACACTCTATTTGCCGAATCCACTTGCCTACTTGCCGCTGCGAGTCTTTTTCCCTGTTCGTCTGTCTTTTCCTGTACTCTATCAATAGTTTGTGACAAGTCCTCCTCCAGTTTAATAATTTGTTTATTTGCCTTAGTAATTTCCTGTAAAATTTCAACTGTTTTTGAGTTCGTCAAGAGCATTCTTTTGTACTTCGCTCTCTCTCTAATATCAGTAAATGACTTCAGCGCCTCTGCGTGTTCAGACTCGAATTTCCCTTTACCCTCCACTGCCCCGCTGACCATAAACACCTCAGAAATTGCCGACTCTCCAAAGTCGAACCCTTTCGAGTTTTCCTCGAACTCGACTTTAAGCACTGGCTGTGGGTTAGTCATGACCTTTAGTTTTTCTCCCTCTTTTTTGGTCATATACACTCTTGAGTGCTTCATATAAATTTCGTTGACGATCAATTGGATGAGTGTCGTGAAAACAGTCACTTTGGTCCTTTTAAAGTCGTCGATTCCAATTTCGAGATGGAACGGCTTATAAATCATTTTGATTTTATAAATCTGTCCAATGTTGATGAACTTCATAAACACTTTCTTCTTTGTTACTCCCTCTGGGACGATTTCTGTGATCACAATTGTGTCGTCGTACATCTTAAAACTCGCCGGGAAGTACACGTTGTCCTTCTCCATCACCAAGACTTCCACCGTCAACACTTGTGGGTCGAAGATTAAAACTTCCGCCTGGATCTCTAACGGGCGCTTTAAAGGCTTTGGCTTGACGACTTTCTTCTTGCAGTACCGCATTTTGAGTTCGCTCGATAACGACTCGACGCATTTTAAGTTCTGTTCGATCTCAGGGAAATACGCATCGGTCTCATTTAGAGCACTTTCGGCTTCAAAAAGCATGTCGCGCTGCTGGTTGATCATATTGATTGTCGACTTCTTGAGGTCCAACGTAGCATCGGCGTATTTGTTGGCACTCTCCGCCATCTGGAGATGTAGGGTGTTCTCCCCACTCTCGTCGTCTCTGTCGAAGTTGATTGATGTGTCCAAAATATCGATGTCGACCTTCGCAAGTTCTTTGTTCATCCGCATGAAGGGGAAGTCCCGCAAGTAACTGATAATGAAGAACGCACTGTCTAATATACTCTTGTCGATGTCAAAAGTGAAGGACTGCTTCTTCGTATCAGTCAAGGAAATAATCTTCGTCTTCTCTAATGTGTCAATGTCGTCATAGTATATGACATAAGGAAGTTCAGTCTTTTTATCTTTTAAAAAATACTGAAAACAGATGGCAGTCTCAGTTAAATATAAAAATGTGTTATATTTGGAGGCCTTTTCTTTGGATATGGAAGAACTAAAATAGGTGATGCAATTCTGTTCTTTAAGGCCAAAAATGTCTTCAATTATTTTGGACTTCCGTGTAAAGTCAGTGATGTTGTTTTGAATTTGTTGCTCCTCTTTGGTTAGCTTCTTTTTGGGTTCGGATTTCTCAGGTCGCTTCGCCATTAAAATTAAAATTGTTAGTTCCAAAAATTTGGAATTTAAAAGCGAAAACTTTTAATTATTTTAAAAATTTTTAAATTATTTGATAAAGAAAGTATATAATATAGTTTTTAAATTATAATTTATAATTCATGGAATTAAAATCAAAAAGAATAAATTGTTTGTGTGTTGTAAAAAATGTGTTTCAATAGAGTGCAATTTATTTTTGGAGCGAACGATTCGGACATTTTGATTTTAGTGTTTTTTAAATAAATAAAAATAATAAAAAATTTATACGTAAATATAAAATGTAAAAATCAAAAAATTGATATTTTTAAATTATAAAGAACTATAATTTTTTAACTACACACAAAATAAAAATTATGAGTATATTTATAACAATTTGATTATAAATATTATATAATATAACAACATATAATTACAATTATAAAAAGTGTCACTATGGAAAAACCCCGTTTTTAAAAAAACAAAAAAATAAATTATTTCAAAAAATTATTTTGTTAAAATTACAAAAACAAAAACATTATTTTAAGTGTTTACAAAATGAATAAAAACCCCTACCATCTTCTTAACAAGTTTCACTTGATTTTATATAATTAAAATTATATAAATATAATAAAATGTATGGTACTGTTTACCATGAAGGCTGAATATACTTTTGTAGACTTTTTATGTCCGAGGTGGTAATTTGTATTATTCTTTTTATTATAATTTTATTAGTTATAATTATTAAATAGATAGGAAGATATTAAAAAGACAAAAGCGGTTTCATATTTCTGTACATGAAATTTATTTTGATTATATTTTTATATGGAAATAAGCGAACCTTAATAATTAATTATGAGATGTTGTGGGAAACATTTTTCTCCAAATGATTTGACACTTGATGGTATAAAAAGACTCATCAAGCTGTCACAATTATTGAAACAATATTCTCCTATTGATATAATACTTGATGGTATTATTAAATCTTTAAGATTAGAGCAGTTATTAAAACAATAAGCTCCAAGTGTTGTGACACTTAATGGGATTTCTACATTAATAAGGTTGTAACAATCACCAAAACAACAATCGTCTAATATTTTGACACCAAATGAAATTATCAAGTTGCTCAAATTGTCACAAAAAGTGAAACAACCGACAGGAATAGTTGTGACAGTTGAAGGTAAAACTACTTTATTGAGATTGTAACACCCACTGAAACAATTATCACCAATTAATGTGACACTCGATGGTATTGTTATACTTACTATAGAAGTACACGTTTTATAACATTTTTCTCCAATAGATGTTACACATAGTGGAATTGTATCACCAAACATTTCTCTGTCAGTTTTAGTGTAAGTCACATTTTTAAATGTGAAGTTTAACCCTCTGTTTGTATATACTGTGGTGTATTCAACATTGAACCACACTACTATTTCATAAAACACTTTCTTAATATCAACATTTTGAGTTTCTTTAATGTTTTTGTTATTTACCATCTTATTAGGTTTTAAAAGAATTTTATTTCCAAAATTATCATCTTCTTTATTCCACAAATGAAGTGTCTCGATGTTTGAAAAATATTTAATTGTTTTGCAATTTAGAGGAATTGGGTTGAAATGAAACTTCTCCATATTACAACTGTATTTATTGCATACCAACTCCAAGTTGATGAAGTCTTTGATAGTCTTGAAATACTTTGAGACGATCATGGCGTGATAACTGTCAAGTGTAAGCATTCTGATTTTAAAGTTTAATTGGTTAATATCTAATTAATTATAATAACAATTGATGTTTTTCAATTACTTTCAATCATTGTTTGTAAAGTTTGCCTAATGCAAGACTATCATAGTTAATTTATAATTAAAATAAATTATTATATAGTTTGATAATTACAAACCAAAAACACCAAAATCTTTTTTAGTTTCTTATTTATTTAAAAGGTTTTTATTAACTACAGTATAGAGAATAATTTGTCTTGCGGGAACTAATTTGTCTACACCTTTAAATAGTAAAATTTATTAAATTTTATTATACTCAAAATATTTACCAGATTTATTCAGATCAGACATTTTAATAATATTTTTGTAAAAATGAACTTGGAATATGGTCATAAAAAATAACCATTTTTTTGTGACACGTTTTTTTTGAATAAAACGGGACATTACAGTGCTTTGGATGGAAAATAAAAAATTAACAACACACACTTTGAAACACTAGAAAAAAACCAAGCATTGATTTAATTGATGATATAGTTGACACTTTCTTACGAAGAATCAATAAACAACAGTTAGAAAAATTGGGTTGAACAAAAGTATAATAAAAATTTAGTTAATAATTGCACAAAAAAGTGTTTCTACTGTAGCCGTTCTTTTCCACTCTCACCCCAATTTTCAGAGTAGAGCATTTATTTCAATACTTTTTTATAAAGTCTACATCTACGCGACCGTTTATGCTTCCATATGTCACCTACTTTTCTTGTCTGTGTTATGTGGACGTGGATGTGGTTCCCCGCTTGCAGGGGAAGGGCGTCAGAAGGAATACGCGCCGAGGGAGGACCGGAAAGTGTGGAACGGGTGCACTAATAGACCGTTAGAGTGCGTCTTACGGAGCTTTCTTTTCGATGATGTCTCACTTTGTATCCAACTGACTCGAGGTGACTGTTCGTCATTATTTGAATTCGATACCAGATTAAATATTAACTTAATTTTCTTTTGCGTATTATTTTAAATAAAAAATAAGGATGGCATTTAAAAATAATAATGTAAAAGGCCATCCTTGGTTGTGTTGGTTTATAAACACTTGTATAATATGCTATTAAAAACATAAACAAAACGAACAGTTGATACAGTGTACACCAACAACATCCCAATGTTGTTGGTAAATCATTTTTTATAATTTTATTTTTGAGTTTTAGAGAGATAGTTTTTTAGTTTGTTTTGTTTGGTTTATAATTAGAAAGTAGACAAATTACGAATTTGGAGATGGCACAAATAGACGCCTTTGACTGTAATTTTTCAGTAGTCAAAATATAAAAAATTGAACTTATAACTCTGCTTAAAATTGAAACTAAAGATATCTATAATAAAGGATATTTGTTTAATTTGTTATAATATATTATATAAAAATTATATCAAAATGAAATAGAACTTTCAAAAAGTATTTTGAAATAAAACTGACACAATAATATAATAAATTAGAAATAACGTACATTATTAGTTTTTTTTAAAAAAAGGGTGTTTTGACATTTAATCTTTCATTTAAAAATTTTTATATTTCAACTTTATGCCTTACTTATAAAGGGTTTCTTGAGGATAAGGTGTATCCTCAGGATTAAAGCTATCCTTATTAAAAAATATTTTTCTGAGGATACAAAAATCAAATCCATAATGTTCAGTTCCCCATAAGGCCCACTTTCATAACTCAAGTTATAATTTACACTTAATATTTCGAGTCAAAGTTAAATTTTAAATAATGGTAATAATTTGTCATAAATGCCAAAAAATTAAAAACAATCAAAAAATCGCCACGATAATCAGTAAACAAAAACAATAATTATATCTCGCCAACTTGAGACGGGAAATAACAAAACGTGAATTAAACTTGTTCATATTATGATTATAAACTTATTGATATTATTTACGAATCTGTCTTTATAACACAATAATTGAAATTTACGTTTAAATTGATAATTGTTTTTTTATCAAAATGAAAATTGAAAAAGTCGAAAACACTGATTTAATAATAATGCATTTTTAAAAAAAACAAATTTATAAATATTTTTGTAATTTATGCAATTATTCAAATTTATTATAATAACAAAGTTAATCATATTGTGTATATTTTAATATGATTGTTTCATTTTGATATTAACTTGTGTTTTAAACAAATATACAGTTCTGAGGATGGCAATTATTTTCTGAGGATGACAGAAATAGAAAGTTTACACTTTTACATCTGTCTGAAATGTATATTGAGTAAGTTACTATTTTTGAATATGGGAACACGTCATTTCACTTTTTAGATGTTTAAGTCTGTGTTGATAAAGTCTGTTTGTTACACGACTTACCATCCTCAGAGATATGTATAGCACTGCCATTATTGATTTAAAATTCTATAAATAAAATTATCAAAAACAAGTTGGCATTTTCATTATTTAAATATGCAACTAATTTGAAACGCTATATTTTAATGTTAATTTTGTTTAATAAATTATAATAATCGATCAGTGAAATAAATAAAATGTGTTATTGTCGAATATAAATGTAATTTTATCTAATAAACAAAAAATAGTATTCATATTATTTATAGTTGTTTGTTAAAACTTGTATTTCAATGAAAAGAGACTTGCCAACACAAAAGATTTTTAAAAATCCATTTAAAGATGATTTTGATTTCGATTTAGTTGAATTTCCTTCTTTAGTTTCTAGTAAAACAGAACCGAAAGTGAATGTACATAACAATGAAAAAATCGAAAAAACAATATCCGAAAAAATTGTAAAATCTTCAATAAAACAACAAAAAAATACAAAAATATCAATTAAAAAAAGTGAAAATGTGGAAAAAGATTTTATCGACAAAAAACTAAGCAAACAAACATAAAGAAAAAAATTAAAGAATGTTCAAAAAACGAAAAAGATAAAAAAGGATCAAGAAAAAAGAAAAAAATATAAATTAGCAACTCAAACAATTCCTCAAATAGATTATGTGCGTACACATAAACAAATTGCTTATGATAAAATGTTTTTGATGACGAACATGTTATTGAACCAGATGATTTGTTTGTGTTGAGTAATTGTTTTTGCCCGCCTTTGACGGTCATTTCAAAAGAAGAAAAATACAACAATTACACAAAACTAGAAAATTGCAATTTATTTTCAATTTCTGGTGAAACACTTGAAGATGAATGTGATAACATTCAAAATAAAGAAATAATGGACGAAATTGCAGAAAATGATGAAAGTTACTATTTTTATACTGGAATGAGTAAATGCGAATTTGAAAAGTATTACAAACTGATTACATCATCGCAAGTTACTTTTGTAGGTTCTCCAGATGTTAGAAAGTGTTGTTATTTTTCAGTGGAAAAATCTGCAATTTTAGGAAAAAGAAATAAAAATGCGTCACTTTCATACAAATCTTTGACATTTCTCGTTTTAGTTATACTGAGATTCGGATTAAACTATTTGTTGACTTTTGTGTTATTGCGTTTAGAAAGGTTTTGTCATTTTTCAAAACGAGGGGAAGTGTGTTTAGAAAAAATGAAAAGAATAGAAACAGAGGAAGAATACATTTTGAGAATGAAAAAGAATATGTCAAATTATGTATCTAAACAATACCACGACTTTAAGAATCACTTTGGCGAGACAATTTATGAAAAAATGGTAGTTAAATTGGGAAATAGTCCAAATGTGTTGATACCATTTGCACTTGGTAAAAAAGTTAAAGATTTGAAAATAATGCCAGAATTAATTAACAGTTACTGGGCAATCGATTCTAAAACAACAGCTTCAAATTGTATTTTAACAAAAAATGGAAAAGTGAGAGAAAAAAATGTATTCGAAAAAAATAAATGGTTCGGGAATGAAATTTGAAATTAAAGTGAACGTACAAGGATTTGTTTTAGATTCAAACGTTTGTGAAGGTTCAATAAACGATTCAAAATTGCACAGTTGTAACAGATCAATGGTTAAACCCGGTGAATTTATTTTGGGAGATTTGGGATATTTGAGAAAAGATGAAGATTATATGGATGTTCCAATTAAAAACGCAAAAAGTGAAATATGCGAAGAAAAACGTGATTTTTATCACAAGTTTAACAAAGTCCATTCCAAGTCAAGGAATGTCGTGGAACACGTTTTTGCGTCTTTGACAAATCAATTTCGTATTTTTAGATCAGTTTTTGGATTCAACAAAGAAGACTTTGGCTATCTCGTCAGAATTGCATTAACTTGTTATAATTTTTTATTGCCAAGAAAACCAGTTATTGATTTTTCTAAACATTCCATCTTTTGACATAACGATGAAAGATTGTATGTATTTATTGAGAAAGAAATGGACAACCTGAAATGAATATCAAAGTATGAGACGATTGACAATGATTTCATTCTGAATAAATTTTATAAAAGTCAAAAATAGTCAAATGACATTCTATTCCGAATTTTAATGAGTGAAATGATA